CATCATCTGAGGTAGCTGTTGTTTGATGGATTCAACTGCCTTTGGATTAACAAAGTCCTCTTTAACTGAAAAAACAATGAACATTATTGATGAATGGATAACTAGTCTTAAACTTCACTGAAAGATCAATATCTGGAAAGTTAATAACAGTTTTCAATGATCTTTTATGGTATGTAAAATAAATTTGATCAAAATCAACACACCGACACAGCTCACACTAGTTTAGCACTAGTTCCCACCATTTTGATCAAAATCAAGTTTGGGTGTACTGTTTGAACTGTCATGAACATGGCTAATTTCATGAATGACATGTAGGTAAAGCTTAGTAGCCTGAAACAACCAACCTTCACTGGGACGTCTTCTYCTGATAATTTTCACTTTTCGTTTCCTAACAATCTTCTTGGGAGAATCTTTATTTTCTCCTCTTTGCCTCTTAACAGGTTTTGGTTCATTAAAATGCCCTGCAACATGTCTAGAGAGTCCCTCACAAGATGCAAATGACATTGTACAGCCRTCAATCATGCATTTAAATGGTTTATCGCCAGTGTGACTGTTCATATGTTTWGCAAGCCATGAATGTGAACAGCTTGGTTTGTTGAATACTTTACAACCCTGCCAAAGGCAGACGTAAACATCTTGAATTGTCATGGGTTCAACGTGAGCTTGATGCACATGCTGTGATAGTTCTGATCTTGATGTGATTATTACGTTGCAATCTTGCCACTTGCATAAGCTTGTTATATCTTCATCTATAGCTTTTCCTTGTGGTTCACTGGGTGATCTTTTGAAATCATTAAATAGAATACATGCATCAGTGTGTTATGCATCATATGAAACTGTTAAACAGATTTGAAACTGGGAAAAAACTTTATCAATCAAAGCAGTTCCCCAGCAACAGTCACAAAAGCTCAAACGACTCTAAAACACGTAACATTACACTTACCGCATGCAGGACATTTTGTTTTGTTTTGTTTGTTTTTTGCTTTTTTTCACAAGTTAACTTATATGTTAAGATTAGGACTTTGAATAAAATGGAGGGAAATATAGACTGGCGCAGTCARTTCCCTTTTATTTCAGGATAAAAATAGTGAAGGAATGTTTTGGAAATTCTATTGATAAAATAAAACCAAACATTGCTTCGATGAGCAAACAACTTCATCTTGAAATCGTCAMGACTACGGTACGTAGAACTTACTCGGCTTTGTCTTGACTGTTTTCCGATCCCTCCGAGCTTTGGCTTACCAAATGCTTCTTCTCCATGAAAGATCTTAAAAAGCCTGTCTTGACTGGTGAGGTTTCCTCGCTCGAACCACACAAATTTTGAGTCTGAGTTTGTAAWTGATCWGAAAGATGRCAACTTTCGATGTCATTATTATCCGCTTTTGCTTCTTGTTKTATRTCATTGCTTAACTCRGGTTCTTYTGTATTAAATTCTTGTTGAGATTTGTTGTCTTTTTCGTTTGTAGCGCTTGTCGATTGTTCGGAATCAGATGTTTTTTCTTCTAAAGAATGTTCTTGTTTGTTGTCCGCCATCTTGATTAATCCATGCTGTTGTGTCACGTGATA